ACCGTGTGCAACGCACCGCCCGCGTATATCACAATACTTGGGAGCACTACAGCGCCTGTGTACATACACCGCAGCAGCCATGTGCAACACAACGCCTGTGTACACCAGAGTGCACGCGTGCACCGCAGCGCCTGTGCACGCTACGGCGCCTGTCTACACTACAGCATCCGCGTGTAACGCAACGCTGGTGTACACCACAGCGCCTGCGTGCATAGGACACGCAGAAGGAGCATGTACGTCAGGATCTGATGCGGACAATTAAACGCCACGCCAGAAAAGTTCTGATAATCGAGTGCGACGTTTTTCCGTCTTCCCTCCTCCTCCACCTCCACCTCCTCCTCTTCCTCCTCCTCGCCCTCTTTTTCTTTCTTCTTACCCCCTGGCACCGCAGAGTGGTCGATTGAATCGGTCCATTTGGTTCTCGGACGGCCAGTTTAGCTGGAGATGCGGGCGGACTCGGGGGGACTCGTAGATTCAAGCGGCGCTCGTTTGTCCATGAGGATTTGTTTTCCATCGTTTTCTCTGGAATCCATACGCGCTCCATTTTGTCACAAGGATTCTTTCTGAAATTCTATACACAACAATGGTGCTATGTTGCACACGGCTGATGTGGTGCACACATGCGCCGTGGCGTACACAGGCACTGCAATGCACGCAGGCATTGTGGTGTACACTGGTGGTGTTTTGCGCACAGCTGATGTGGTGTGCGGAGGCGCTGTGGTGTACATAGGAGCTGCTTTGCCCGCAGGCGCGGTGGCACAAACTGACGCTGTGTTGCACGCGGCTGCTGTGGTGTACATCGGCGGCGTGGTGTACACAGGCGCTGTGGTGCACGCGGGCACTGTGATGTACACAGGCGTTGTGGTGCATATCGCCACCTACATGTTCGTGCTACCCGTCCTCCGCCATTCCTAACCATTCCCAAACGCCGCCGGCGCGAAACGTGACGTCATCGACCCACTCCCGCCCCAGATGATTGCCGTCATCGGCCCGGACTTAAAAACAGGCTCCAGCCGCGTCCGCGCGCACGACGACGATGAGCGACGAGCGACGAACCACGAGCGACGACGACGAACGACGACGACGACGACGACGACGCCTGCGGACCAAACACCTATGCGGATTCCTACGCGGACACCTACGCGGATCCCAATGCGCACGGCGGCAGTGCCCGGAGCGCACTGGGGGGGGGAGCGTTACGTCATAGGGGGGGGGGGCGGGGGCCATGACGCCCGTCATGCCCCAAGCAATAAAGAAATGGCCTCCTGCGGGATCCTGCACCCGAGCCCGGGCAGGATCCTGCAAAATCCAACGCTCTGACTGACCCCCGTTTGCAATGACCCCGCCTCTTGAGTCCCGAGGGTGCCTGGTGCCACGGCTGCCGGCCAGAAGACCAGATGGGCCTCCATCGAGAAGTCGGACATCCCAGATTCGGAACCCGAGGTCGGATCGGATCGGAAACGGAAGCCATTCAAACTCGAATCGAACCGGAGGAGCCGCAACAAGCCCTGCTGGGGTGCCCGGTGCCACAGCTGCCGCCCAGAAGGGCCAGGGCGGGCCGAGAGGCCAGACTCCGCCGCCTGCGCCCTGGCTGGATATGCGGGCGCGCGAGCGGCGGCGCACCCCTCGTCTGGGCCTGCCGGGGACCTCTGAGGGGGCCCAGGAACATACAAATACATAGACCCAAATTCCAGGATTCCGAATCATCTTTCTATATGTTCTGGGCTTTCATCCTCCCCCCTCATTCCCTATATTCTCCCAATTTTCCGGGGAATCGACGATTATTTGTCTCTGTGTGTTTTACCCCTCCTTATACATTCACATACATACATACATGCAGTCATACAAACATAAACATACCTACCTACATACCTACCGACCTACCGACCTACCTTATATATATATATATATATATATATATGGGTGTGTGTGTTTGTGTGTACGTGTGTGTGTGTGTGGGTGTCTGTCTGTCTGTCTGTCTGTCTGTCTGTCTGTCTGTCTGTCTGTCTGTCTGTCTGTGTCTGTGTCTGTGTGTCTGTGTGTGTCTGTGTGTGTCTGTGTGTGTGTGTGTCTGTGTGTCTGTGTGTGTCTGTGTGTGTGTCTGTGTGTGTCTGTGTGTGTGTGTGTGTCTGTGTGTCTGTGTGTCTGTGTGTGTTTGTGTGTGTGTGAGGGACGGCGCGAGCGGCGGCGCACCCCTCCTCTGGGTGTGTTGGGGCCCTCTCGGGGCCTTTTTGAAGCCTTTGGGGGGCCTCGTGGGGCCTCCCGGTCTTGGAGCCTCCTGGGGGCCTCTTGGGGCGGAAGGCTCGGATGTTCGGTTCGTGTTCCCTCTCTTGGGCCTCTTTTTGAGCCGTGGGGCCGCCCCGAACTCGGATGGGCATGGCGTCGACACCGGATCACTCCCCAAACCCATTTGCGTCGTCGGAACGACAAAGAGGTGGGGTAGAGGCGAAACGCTGTCACAAGGAGCAGAGCCCTGAAAAAGGAACGAGGCACCTTCTTC